AACCCTGTCCCTCTGTGCCCACACACCCACATATGCTGAGATTTAAAAATAAAAGATGGTGAAGCGGCTAATACTTGCTTCAGATTTGGATTCAGCTGATTCAGGGGACAGTGATTCGATTCAGTGATTCAAATCACTGTCCCGGATTGATTCAGCCAATTCTGATTCAGAGACTTAGCCACCACCAAATTGGCTGAGTCTCTGAATCAAACATGCCCCATTCCCTGCCTCTCTCTCAGCCCAGTCAATGGCTGCCCCACCCAGCCCCACCGTCCCGGCTCTTTAAAAAAAAAAAAAGCAAAAAAAAAGCCATGCACTCACTGGTTCCTGCCAGGTGGGGGGGGGAGCATGACCCCTGCTGGCCCCTGCTAGCCCCATGCTGCATGGGGGGATTTTCCATGAGCCCCCATCTCCTGCCCACACTCTGAGAACCAGCCTCCTGGCTCTTTAATATATATGTTTAAAAACCCCCATACTGACTGGCTCCTGTCAGGCATGGGTGCAATCTCTGCTGCCTCCTATAGGTCTGTGCTGTGTGGGGGGCTCTTCCACAAGCTCCCAGAAGCCCTGAAGGCTGCAGAAGCAGCTAGTGGGTGCAGGGTTTTTTATTTTTATTTTTTTTAAAGAGCCAGGATGTTGGGGCCAAGCAGGGCAACCACTGACAGGGCTGAGAGAGCAGGTGGGGGATGGGGGCTCGTGGCAGAGCCCCCCACACAGCATGGGACAGTGGGGGCAAGCAGGGGTCACCCCCCTGGCCTGGCAGGAGCTGATGAGTGTGGGGCTTGTTTTTTTTAAAAAGCTAGGATGCTGAGGGCAGGCAAGGCAGCCATTGACAGGGCTGGAGGAGAGGGCAGGGAGCTCTAAGGGGGGCTGGGAGAGCAGGCAGGGGATAGGGCCTGGCAAGGGTCCCCCCATGGTTCCCTCCTCCAGCCCCCACCCCCTACTTATCGGCAGAGTCTGGGTCCAGTTCCCTGCAGTGGTGAGCGGGGAGTGCCCAAATCTCTGAATTTCTCTGAAGCTCTCCAAATCTTTTCTGAATTGATTGGGAGAGCTTTGAATCAACTTGGATCTTTTTATTGGTCTCCAGATTCGATTCGGATTTAGAGATGTGACTGCCAAGTCAGGCCAAATCTCCTCCAAATTGAATCAGCAACCAAAGCTTCACATAGTCCTAGTAATTACCACTTTAAACCCTAATTAGTAAAGTAAGTATGGATATATGGTTAAAGTTTTGTGTCTAGTGCTTCATGTTTAAATAAGTGGTAGTAAATACGTGTGTACCAGGACATCTATTCCTGTCTTGTAAAGCAATTTTTATAAAGTCTTTTCTGAAAGCTACAAAACAATACGTATACTAAAGTTATATAACATTTTGGTTATAATGGAAATATTTGTCTACTTTCCAGTTTCACAGGTGATAGCATCATTTGAAATTAATGACCCAGAGAACAGAATTCAGATGTGCAAATTTTGTTCTTTTAAAGCTTTTTACCCCAAATCTGTTAATGAAAGTGTTCATTTGTTAAACTGGCACTTAAATAGGTTTTAACAATACATCAGCACCAAAACAGGGTAGCCTTCCCAATCCATCTTCCTGAGGGTGTTGGGACCCTACTGCAAAAATGAAAGTGCCAGCAAAATTAATTACTGCACTTCTGCACTTCATGATGGATGTAAATGTACTTTTCCTGTGCAACTAGCATTGACTTTAGTTGGAAAGATGCTTTATAGAAAATATTTCCTATAACATTCATAGTATAGGCTAAGTAACTCAGGATCACGACAGAGAGCAGGATTTAATAATTGGTTACTAGACTGCCAGAGAAGTTTAGCCAATAATAGGTTTTTCAGTTTAACTTATCTACTCAAATGTAAGACAAAATATGTTTCCATTTTCTCTAAAAAATTGTAATTAGCAGAGATACATGTATTTCATACTGATGTTCTCCCCTTCCTCCCCCTAAATAACCTACTATTACAAGGGTTTTAAGATTCTTTGTTCAGCCTCTTATACTTCTGGTTTAAAAATAATTTCATTTACTAACAAAATGGCTACCAGTAATAAACCCAGGAAGGAAAACTTGAAGTAGCATTTTTACCTAAAATGTATTTCTGACTAAAACGAATTTTCAAAGCATTATCTTGAGCAATATTTGCTTTCTTCTCTTGTGTGTAGTAGTGGTAGGTAGTGTTCTTGTCTTTCCAGACTCCTATCCTTTTATGAATCTTCGATAATATATCATGAAGGAAATAATAATGAAGGAATTAAAAGGGATAGTAAAACTGTTTTCAATTAATATGATTAAGGAAGAAAATTCAGTCAATTCCTCCCCTTGTGCCAGATTATATTTTAAAATATATGCATAAATCACATTGAATTCACTAGAATATCGACACTGAAACTGAATTTGGTACATAGTTAAAGCTGGGGGCAAGCTGGGTTTTTTTGGGTGACAGGAAAAATGGGAGCTTAGTCTCTTTGCCTCATGTGAAAAGCCCAGTACATACCCCATTCCTGAAATCTGAGTGCCTGAATCTAAAGCAGCACAGAGGGGACATATATGGGCAGTTTATATATAATACAGATAACTTTTTTTAAAGGAAATTCCAGGTCAAGATTCCCCCAACTCCATTGTCCAGAGTCAACTACCTCTAAACTGGCACAGCCATCCCCACCACAAAGAAAGCAAGACATTTAGCATTCATTATTCCAAAATTCCCATGTACGTCCCCTCTGCACTGTTGTATATATATAAATTGGGAAGCATTATGTATGTATGAGTGTGTGCCTGAGATTAAAATATAGGCTGAAATTAGTATTTTGTTAGTGTTCTGTAGCAGACTCAAAGTGTATTACACTGAAATTTAGAACAAGTAAGAATTTCTTGATTATTAGAAGCACATTGAAAAACACCATACTAGAAACCCCAGGGATGCATAAAAATGGTTCTTTAGGATGGGAAGTTAGCCTCTGGAGGTGTAGTCCTAGTGCAGGATTCACTGTATCAAGCAATCTCTGGTCCAAACTTTGACTCTGACCTAGTTTCAGAGAAATGATCAGAAATGAAGAAATGGATAATGTCATCCTAACAATTAAAATGTCAGAAACACCGAGAATGGTTGCTGCTGCCAAGGGTTATATTATAAAAGTGTCTGCAGATGTTTCTATTAATTTATGATAGTTGAGGTCGATGGAAAAGGTAGAGAAAAGGGCTGAATTTGCATGTGGGAATATGTCAAGGCATTCAGGACTAGATACACAAAGAAGTTTTGGATGGGCATAAGTACATAACTGCCACTTTAAGTGCCTGAGTCCAAAAGTTAGATTTACAGAACCCCTTCTTAGCTTAATCCTACTGTTGAGAGCACCTAAAAGTACAAAGGCATCTAAATTTCTAACATAAAAGTTCCTGAGATGCCAAAAGTCTTCTAGTCACATCCAGAAGCTACTCTGTGGGCATTAATGCACTTTTCCTAATGCTCATCGGATTTAGTACCTGCAATGTGAGGTACTAAATAAATGTATATTATACTACCCTGTTGTGCAGTAGCAAAAGTACATTTTTTTTAGTGATGCTTAATATCCTATTTTACCATGTATTAGAGTATTTGCACATTTTTTTACACAATGCTTTAATGTGCAGTAAAGCGCATGTGTAGATGCGCTTTGTATTAACAGTGCTGAGCAACACATGAAAGCCCTATTAAGATCCACCAACTAGGTGTTCTGGTTATTTTGCCTGCAAGGCTGGACCAAGTAAGGATTTTCAGAACAATCAAAGCAGGTTAGTTTTTAGAGTGTGACTGGAGAGTGATTACGTCTACCCTCAGTGGTTAGAAACTTAGCGAGCCAGGAAATTCTCTTTTCTACCTTAGGGGATTTGAACCTCAAACTCCCACTTTCCAGGGAATTATTCTACCCCTCTGTTACACTGCATTCTAAGGAGGGGGAACTAATCTCAGTCCTTCCATTTAGAAGATGTTCTGCCTTGTAAGGAAAATGAGCATAGCTCTTGTGCTGGTAATAAGGAAACATGCATTCCCATCTCTGCTTCCACATTGAGAGCACTCCCACCTCAGATAACCCTATAGATTGGTAATTGATGCATTCTCCTAGGATGTGGGGGATATGTGTACACATCCCATCAGGCAAAGGAGAAAATTGAATTTAGCTCTTGCACAGCTTTGGCGTGTGCTTTACCCATTGATCTGTTGCATAAAGGGAAAGGCACCATCACTGCTACCACTTTCGGAAAGTAAAAGCTGACTTCTCTTTGGTTTTTGAAACCTTTGACGCAAAGCTTCATAACAGAGTTTAGGGCTGTGAATTGCAAGTTGAGGGACACCTTTTACAGCGTAAAGAACCATTGTCTCAGAGAGTGAAAGATGAAGACAACCGCACATCCTCAGAACCTCCTATTGGTTTCCCACTAAATTTATGTTGCTTTCAATTCTGTGGATGGGGCTTTATGGATCCCAGACACTGGTGCTCAAGAGCATGACTGCACCACAGAGGCAGTGAGCTCTGGCTGAGCCCTTCCCAAGTGTACTCCACCTACCTGCTGGCATATGACAATGCAGGTACTCTACAATCATTTCCAGCAGCTGCTCTAGGGAAGGCTAGAAACCAAGAGCCAGAGATCAACCATACAGGCACACCCCAGAGCAGAGCTTTATCTGTATCATTTTCTACTAAACCAAGAGAAAAGGAAAATTACAATTTAAAATTGTACAGGTTTTGTAGTTGACAGCAAGGAATTTTACTGGCAAACCACCAAAGAAAACCCTTGTTACTTAAAATGTTCACAGTTGGTAATTATTGCATCAAAGTATTCTTGAGTGCATGTATTATCTCGAAGTGGACAATGGGCATTACACCTATGCTAAATTGATGCTAGTTTAATAGTTGAATTTTAAAAATGGCAAATAGCTTTTAATTATAACTGTTTTAAAAGAAGGAAAGAACTGACATTGTTGTTCTCTCTCCTTTTATTTTTTAGGAATTGATCTGGGAACCTGCAGAGCATTAAAGTGATGCACTTCATGAGTGGTGGCATCCTATACACAGGACATTACATCTGAAATTTTCCAGTAATTCTGTTTTCAACTTTCAAGGTGGCTCTGGCTAGAAGGGGTAGATTGTTCAATACTCCTGTGCCTATAAACTAACCAAAAATGAAGGAGGACAGTTGTTTACATGCTGCTCTTATATGCCTGGGCATGCTGTGCTATAGTCATGCTACATCTACGGAGAAGCTTAACCATTCAAGGCCGTCACTCCATGGTCACCATGAAAAAGGAAAAGAAGGACAAGTTCTGCATCGTTCAAAAAGAGGCTGGGTGTGGAATCAGTTCTTTGTAATAGAAGAATATACAGGACCAGATCCTGTACTAGTGGGCAGGGTAAGAAATATCTATATTTCAGTATGTGCTATTTTGCGCATCTTGTATAAGATGCTTTGTTCCTCTCGTACTTCTCTTCCACATCAGTTGCCTAATTGGAACTTGCTGATAAATCTGGTAGTAATCGTTTAATCTGTAGTTTGGTGAGAGTCCAATCCAAAGTCCATTGAAGTTAATGGGAGTCTTTTCATTGACTTCAGTAGGCTCTGAATCACTACTTAAGAGTAGTAGGTTAGCACTTTTTCTGCTGACTGTGAATGGACAACAAGCTTGATCCCCAAATGCCTAATCTGTCCAAGTAAAACCTCATATCTGTCTTAGTTTTGGTTCCCTGTCACTTAGAATACTTTTCTCATTGTTTTAAGGCTGGCCTAGAAAATAGCAACCTATATACCAAACAGAAGAGTCCTAAAATAGGGATTTAAAATGGATTGACCTGACATACCAATATTAGAAAAGTAAATTGCTGACTTTACCATATCTTTGTTTTCTGCTTTATAAGACATTACTCATTAGGATTAAAATATGTTAGAATGTGTAGTATATAACGAGCCTGATGTTTCAGTGTGCTGTACCTGCCTTCGAAGTGTATTACTCCTGTGAATTAGCATCAGTCCGATATAACACAATGGGGAATCAGATCAATGGAATCAAATTCTGCCAGAAAGAACAATTTGTCCCAAGAAGTCTGTATTACTCCTACAAGTTAAGAAAGTTAAGAAAACACTCACAAATTACTGTAATACTATTTACTATGTTTGTTATTATACAATATCACAGGGTGAATATGTTGGGAAGCAAAATTAGTATTTTTAATATTAAATAGAAGGTCAAATTTAGACTCTAAGACAAGTTGAAAATTGTCTGGAAACCAATGCTTGGTACAGTTGTAACAGCCCCATGTGTCACTGAGCCACTTTTAAATGCAGTGTAGCAAAATCTGATTAATATGAAGAGTATTAATCCCTTTACATTAAGTTACTCTTCCCTCTGTCTTCATTTGAACAAATAGAAGACAGTAACTATCTCATTATAGTTCTACTTCTCCCACCCCTTTGTGTCTAAAATATATTTTAGCTTTGAGGAACAAGAGCTTTGTGAATCTTTCTTACAGGCAAGCTCTTAGTCTGAACACATTTCTAGGTTGATCCTCTTCCTATTATAATTTATTGTTTCTGTTGCAGTTGCAGCTAGAGACTGTTCATAGCTTTATGGTGCTAGGGGCTGTGCAAATATACGCAAAGACACAAGCTATGTCTTTACTGTAGGCCTGTGTGAAGCAGCAAGTATTCACTTCAGATTTGGCCAATTTGGAGGACAGTGATTTGATTCAGAGAATTGAATCACTGTCCTGATTTGATTTGGCTGAGTTAGATCAAAAAGATTTGGTGCCGCTTCAGAGATTTGGCCATAGACTAAACAGGTAGCTGACACAGCTGCCTCCAGCTACAAAGTCTGTTGGGTTTGGGGAAGGGAGGAGGAAAGGGGTGTGGAGTGGGGGAGGGATTGGGGCTGGGGCTGGAGCACGCTGCCCAGCTGGGGCAGAGGGGCATGTTACTCAGGGAGAGGGACAGGAGGGTACAGGATGCGGGTGCGGCAGCACTCAGAGCGGGGGCTTTGTCCTGCTGCCCCTTGACCAGCTGGGATGAGAGCAGGGAGGGATGCAGGTGTGGCTCATTCTGGATGGTAGGGGGAAGCGGCAGCCCTCACTCCCAGCACGGATGCAGGCATGGCCACTGCTGCCACTTGCTCCCTTCTGCCTGGAGCAAGCCGTGTCTGCATTATGTCCCCCCGAGCCCCCTCTCCCAGCGCTGCCACACCCACATCAGTGCTGGGAGTGGGGACTCTGCACTGTCGCTGCTTGCCAGCCAGTGCAGAAGGGTGGGTGCTGTTGCCACTTGCCAGCCAGCATGGGCGGGAGTGTGGGATGCAGGCGCGGCAGCGCTAGGAGTGGGGGCTATGTCCTGCTGCCACTTGCCCCCTTCTACACTGAGCGAGCCACTCCTGCATCATGCTTCCCCCCCATAGTTGGGCAAGCGGCAGCAAGGAAGAGCCCCCTCTCCCAGCACTGCTGCACCTGCATCAGCACTGGGAGCGGGGACTCTGCACTGTGGCTGCTTGCCAGCTGGCATGGGAGGGCATGGGATGTGGGGGCAGCAGCACTGGGAGTGGGGGTTATGTCCTGATGCCACTTGCCAGCCGGTGTGGGGGAGCACAGGAAGTGGGCAAAGCAGCTTTGGGAGTGTGGGCTATGCCCTGCTGCCGCTTGCCCCCTTCTGCCCTGAGTGAACCACATCCGCGTTCTGCCTCTCCCAGCCCAGCTTAGCAAGTGGCAGCAGGGCATAGCCCCTGCTCCCAGTGCTGCCGCGCCTGCATCCTGTATCCACTGCCCTCCCCAGGTCCTGTGCTCCCCACCCCAGCTGGGCA